CACCTCTGCCAGTAATAACAACAATTATACGCCTGGACATTGAGTCAAACAGAGATTGGATGGCATGTACAGCTATGCAGCTTTATGATGCCCATGCAGCTTCAACACGATGCCACAGCTCATCAACCGTAGTGACTGGTGATAGATAGTGACGAGAGAGTCGCTCGGCAACCAGACATTTTCTATTGGCGAGAGACCTGGTGAACGTGCAGGCCAGGCCAACAGCCGAACATTTTCTGTATAAAGGATGGTTCGTATAATACCGGCAATATGCGATCGTGCATTATCCTGCTGAAACGTAGTGTTTCCCAGGCCTCGAATAAAGGTAGAGTCACGGGTCGTAATACAGGAGAAATGTAACGTGCTCTGTTCAAAGTGCCGTCTGTATCCAATTGCACCCCATATCATTGCGCCAGGTGATGGGTCAGTATGACAATGACGAATGCACGCTGCCAATGTGAGTTCACCACGATGCCGCCAAACACGGATGCGACCATCTTGATGCTCTAAACAGAACCTGGATTCTTCTGAAAAAGGACGTCTCGCCATTCGTGCGCCCAGGTTCGTCGTTGATCACACCATTGAAGACCATCCGAACATCGTCGAACTGTTCGTGCAGACACTTGTTGTCTTGCAAACGACCCTAATTCTTGACACAGGGCTCTTGACGTGGCCATTTAGACCATGCGGGTAACATGGTCTTCTCGGCTGCTAGTGATAGGGGAGAGTTGAAATCCAACACGGCTTTCCGTATTACCGTCCAGAACCCATCGATTCCATATTCTGCTAACAGTCATTGGATCTCAGCCGATGCGAGCAGCAATACAGCGATACCATAAACCCAATCCCAGTATGCTACAATTCGACTTATCAAAGTCAGAAACGTGCTGATACGCATTTCTGCTTCTTACACGATTCATCACAACAACTTTTCACCGGGCAACAACGTTCAAACGCACTTTGTGTATGAGAAACCGGCTGAAAAATTTCCTCATTTAAGCACATTGTAGGCGCACATTTAAGCACATTGCCGGCGCCTGCTTCGTCTGAATGCGCTGAAAAGCTAATCATTAGCATATCACATCACCTTCTTCCTAGCGTTCAAACTTCACATCTGTAGCATGTCGCCTTGTTGTTGTAGCAAATTTAATGGCCTGTATTGTAGTTCCTGAATAATATTTTAAACAAATATATAAAATAAAAGCTTGCAAAATTATTTTTAAAGGTATTTTCATAATTAAATTATTTACAGCATAATTAATAATATAAGGAATTTTGAGAGAATTATCATGACCAGCTGCTTGCCTGATATAACTGCGTCGATATGTTAGTGAATATAAATTTTCCTCTTTTTCGTATGCATAATTTCTAATTCTAATTCCAATTAACGAAACAAATGTGTTATCAAAATCATTTTATTTGACAAAATGTTTTATATTATATTAAAAAAGAGGGAAAATATCACTTAAATTTTGTACCTTATAAATGAAATAAAACAATCCATAAATACTCCTGTCCCAAAAAAGTAAAACCAATTTTCAATTTAAATTTCCCGGTCATACGGAATTTCAATTTTTTTCCTTTTTAGGTTGTTGGCACTATTCTTGACATCTGTGTGAAATTTGACATCAAAATATTCATTAGTGTTTGAGTTACGCTTGGCTTTGTGAGACGCTAAAACTGATTCCGGCGATTTTTGAAATGTCTGAATTCATTGCGCAAAGAATTTGCATTAAATCGTGTTTGTGGAAACGTATTGAATGTTGCAGAAAGCATTCGGTGAACATTCCTGTATCGGAAAGAAATGTTTACAAGTATAAACAGTTCAAAGAAGGCAGAGAACGCTTTGAAGACGAAAAGCACTCTGGTCGAAATAAAGCTCACGCCCTAAAAAATAAAGGTATGGTGCTTGCAAACCGTCAATTTACAATTAGAAACCTTGCTGATGATGTTGGAATTTCAAAAGGATCGGTCAATTCTGTTTTAAAACATGTTTTGTGCCTCAAACGCATCAAATTTCGATTGGTACCGAAAACACTGAATTTTTTGGAAAAACATCGTCATGAAGTGTTGTGAACCGCCGCTAGCTTTGATTATTAGAAAAAAAGTTGGCTGCGTTCATTGCGTCCGGAGGGGATTATTTTGAAGGCGATGAAATAAATTTAGAAGAATAAATAAAGAGTTTTTGAAAAAAATAAAATTTGGTCTTACTTTTTGGGCACAGAAGTATATACATTTAGAAGAATTACCCTAATCAGAGGAGTGGAAATAAAATATCTCCATAGCACTAAATTTTCCCATGCATTCCATTGAACCACACAGGCTTGTTTTTTAATGGTTATTCGCTTATTATTTGAGTTTCACTCCGTGTAGAAACGCTGATTTTTTTTTTCTAATTTTCATGGTTTTCTTATCTTTTTAAACTCACCTATTTTATGGTTTAGAATATGCCAAATGAATATAAATGTAAATGTCACCTCATAAATAAAGATTTGCAAAAGTTGTTACTGCTAGAAAAAAATCATATTGAATTGTTCTGCATTGTATCAAATTTGATTGGTGCTTGTGTAGCTTGTATAACTCGAATGCGAAATGAATTTCATCTAAACAAAAACTTCCCGAAAAAAGAGATTTTTAAATTTTGGAAAAGAAATGTCATTGAAAAGTATCATTACTTTACTATTTCAACTATCAGAGGAAAAGTTAAATTTTTCTATAAACGAAATGAAACCTCAACAACAGCAAAAATAATAAAAGTTTTGTATGAGGATAAATAGTTTTTTAATTTAAACATCAAAGCAATTAGTAGATTAATAAATGCCACAGTTCTTATTTTCTGGGAAATAAATAAATCAATAAACCAGTTTTTGTGAATTAGATGAAATGATGGACCTAATAAAAGGCAAGTTGAAATTCACCATTGATTCTGAATGCACCGAAATTGATAATTCAGAAAGTAATAATTTGGATAAAATGGTAATTTAGTGACCAATATAAAGCATCTTAATATTTTTGTATCTTTCATAACTTATACATTTAAAATGTAAATACACATTAATTAATAATTAATTTAACAAATATTCAAACCAATTCAAATTAATTTTTTTTTGAATAAAGTAAAAAAGTGAGTTGCATTAAAATCAAACTTTCCATAACAATACTCTTTTTATTTTAAATGTATATAATGCATATAATTTATGTATTCTTATAAATTTTAATGAATAGAAATATAAAAAAAATTATGCTAACAACATCCATTTAGAAAATATACAGGTTTTTGTATTTCCTGCATATTTTTTCAAAATACAAATAAAATTTCGGACATTTTTTTCATCAAATAGAAAATTAAATGTCTTAAATCCACATCAGGCTGCAAGATAGAGTTTTTTCTATGTTTTCTCTTATGGGACAAGAAGATAAAGGATGATTACCCTTAAAAATATCCCGAAAAACAGCACCCACTCATCATCGCTTATCGTGGGCGTTAATATACGTAAATGGATCATGTAAACCATTGATGTACCGCGAGAATAAATGATTTAATTCAATAGTATTAATTATTTGAAGTCTACTTTCTTCGTAGAATTGAAGCTAATTTTTATATTTTGTCTTATCATTGAATATGATGCTGCTATTGTTTTTACTGCTATATCTACGCGCGTGATTTTAAAAGCAAAACATAGCAATTAAAAATGAAGTTTTCATGAATTAAAGACTATTTTCCAGTGTTTTTATTATATATATATATATATATATATATATATATATATATA